ATTGTTTCTCCTCCATCAACATTCACAATGAATGTTGACCATGAATTTCAACCATTCCTCAAGATTCTTTCAGTGTTACTAATCCTGTGTGATGTTGTTGCTGCTAGTTTTCTTCAACCCAATTGTGATCCAACACACAAATTATGTTTTGGCTTCATTCGGCCTCATCCGCCACCGCATATCGCAATCCGGCCGCCAGTCGAGACTCCTTTGCCGCCACGACTCCATCAGCCTCCACCGGCAGCTCGACCAAAAAGACCGATTTACCCTCGACCGCCAAAAGCGGGCCAAAGCCCATCCCCTGGCCCACTAAGCCCGTCTAGTCCACCACCATCGGTTCCGGTAAAAAATGCTCCTCCATTTCCATTAATTTCGACTCCACAAATTCCATTTCCAAAGCCAGTCTTTCATCTTCCTCCGTGTTTTACACCATTTGTTCCGATTTTCCATTCGCCACCAATTCGAATGCCATTCATTCCTATTTATAAAAAGTATCCAAAAAGTCCTCTGCCATCAGGAGTTGCTGCTAGTCAAGATTATAGCTTTCGTCCACCACCGCCGTTATTCTCTTGAGTTATATCAAACTATATGTCAATGCAGAGTACTGAAAATTGCAAACTTATTTATGTATGAATCATAAATCTAAGTTATATTTTATGTTACCATGATAAGTTTGCCATGCTTAAGTAAATGGATCACTGCTTCACTAGTGTCCTTGCAATTCTTCTTTTATTTCATTCGTTTTTCATGTATATCATGGACAAATTTCCATATCAAGATCTCGCAAACATCGTCCTAGTATATTGCCTTTTTTACACAAATGTACTGATGCTAACTGGTTTCGGTCGGTTAAGTTTGCACAATTATTAGTGGATATTTTAAGAATCTAAAACATATATACTAATTATTTGTTCCCCTTGGCTAATTAGGCGCCAACCTAAATGTAGTATATTATTATTTTAATCAATCCAGTGACCAATTTGTAACAAAATGAACAGAACAAACTGAAATAAATCTGAAAGAGAAAATGGAGATTCAAAAACGGAAACTATTGTGGTTGAATAGTTATTTTATGTTATTAATACACAACAGAAATAAACAAATTCCATTTCATAATTGATTATTGAAAACAGGGTGACTAGTGCTCAAAAACGGAAGAGAGTTCGTTACTGTCAACAACGATTTTTGCAACAAACAAAACTGTTAGAACAATAGAGTAATACCAACTAAATCAGTAAGAGCATCCACAATGTTTTGGGTTCAATCAAAAAAAATTATATGCCACATAGATAATAGACCCAATCTTAACAAATATATTCTCCAATGCAAGTACAAGTACACAGGGTCCTGCAACATCAGCAGCAAAAAAGAGAGGCATAGACTCACTTAAGTCTATTTTAGACCCAAGACCTAGTCTCCTGCATTGGAGTAAATTTGTTAATTTTATATTGTTTCATCTATGTCATCCAAGACTTAAGTTTATTTACATGCCACATAGGCAAAACTAAACACAAAGCGATACACATGCTCTAACTGATATATTTGTTCCTATTATTTATTACCAGCAATCGAATCATAAATAGAAAACTATGTTTTTCATTTATTGCACTAGCTATAGTTTTTGTAATGGATCCTTTTGTTCCGTTGTCTATATTAGCAACGATATCATTAACATAAAAATTGTTTTGATAAATTGGATCATTACTTTTGGTTTGCATTATTTAACTAAAATAATATAATTTTTAATTATCTTCACTTTAATAATACATAAGGTTAATTTATTTAACTTAATCAATATAATTCTAATTATCATTTAATGTAACAATATTTAAAATTACTACCAACATTTCCAATGTAATGACGACAAAATTTTTAGAAAAAACAAATACTGATTTAGCAATTCTACCATTTGATTTGTCTGCTCCAAATTGAAAATTATGAACACCCCTAAATAATGATTTTTCAACATGATTTTTTAGTCTTTATATAAAAATTCTTAAATTATGTGACTTATCACAAAAAACAAAATACTGAGCAACGGGCCGCCTGTGTTTCGCTTGCATGGTCATAGCTACCATTTAATTGGTAGTTTCGCTTGCAAAAGAATGCTGAAAAGAAGGCTGCGTCGATTAAGGCAAAATATTCAAACAAGAATGCTAAGAGAATAGAGTCCCCTGCAAAAGGTGAAGCCAGGAAAAAACGCGGTGAAGATGACAAGGATGGAGATGAGAATAAAGCAGATTGACGAGCCAAGCAACATATGTAGTAGTTAAAGGGGGACAAACTATATGTAGTAGTTAAAGGGGGACAAACTATTATTTTTTCTGTAATGTCACTCTTGTTTTGGGGCTTGATAGTGTATGTTCTTGCTTTGCACTACATTAGGAGTTCATATATATGCGGATGTGTATCCTCCATAATTTTAAAACCCGGCTCGAGAATCGACCAGGGCAGATCTCCGGGTTAATTGTTGAATAATTAATTTTGAAACTTTTAAAATTATATATAGAGTATTTTATCATATAAATATACATAAAAGTAACAAAATTAAATGTTTTGTATATAAAATTTGTACATTAAAGTGTTAAAAATATGTATTTCACGATAAATAGTTACCATATAAATATATATACATAGTTTTATCTTTTTAAATAAAATATATATATATATAGGGGCCGGGTCAATACCGCGGGTCGAGGCCGGATTTTGACCGGGTCCTTTGTTGACCAGTCCGAATAGCCTACCTGGACCGGTTTTGGATCGAGACTCGGTCGACCCGGAGCCAGAACTGGTCCGGGTTGAAAAACTATGGTATCATCTCACACATTTTGTTTTTCTCTGCCTGTTTTGTTTTATGTTAGCTTGAAGGGGGAAAAACTATTATTCTTTCTGTGATGTTCAATTAACTCTTGTTTTGGGGTTTGACAGTGTATGATTTGCTCTAAATTAGGAGTTTATATATATGCAGATGCGTATCCTCTCACACATTTTGTTTTTTTGTGATGCGTTAAGCTATTGATATTTAACACCATGGACCATGTTATCTAATCATTCAAGCGTACCAAGTCTCCACGGTACAACATGAAAAAAAAAAAATTGACAATGTTAAGCACTATTAACAAAAAAACTTGACAATGTTAATCAGGGCACTTTAACACCTTGCAAATATAAGACTTAATCCACTTATCCATATAGCAAATAAGTAAAGATTTCTTAAAATAAAAAATGCACCCTCTAGATGCGCTAAGATTGTTCTAAGTATACCAAAAATTTAACAATCTCAATCAAATCAAACTGTACAGTTTTTTTTCCATGGTAGCATTCCTATACAAGGATCTTAAGCAAAAATGTGTTGGTCTGACATCCGTGAACGTCACGGAAGACGGTTGATCTGCGACTTCAACATCGTCATCCACGATAGGTATAGTGTTTTCATAGAAAATGACAATCTCACGCCCGAAATTGGAATCGAACACACGGTCAAGTGCTATAGTTTTGAAATACTTGCTCTTAAAAGTTTTGCAGTAAAATTCTTCATTTACTTACAAGCCTAGCCCTGCATTTAAAAAATAAAATTTGGATACAAATAAATAAACTACTACTAACTGAAAAATAGATAAACAAAACAACTATACTTACATGGAACTTTTTCCATGATTGTTTTGTAGTGTTTGACCCTATTTATAAACTATTGGCCCATAAAAACTGTGTCTCTTCACCATATTGCAGTTAGGCATAGAGCATGTGCTTCAGCGTGGCATTATTTTCGGGTTGTTTATCTTTCACAATGTAGTTGAGAAATGCTTTCATAGACTCAAGGATTTTCTGCTTTGTGAAGTTTTTGCTTAAAGTATCAAACTCAAGAGAATCGCGTCACCATATCAGAAGTAAAACATACATATTTTCGAGCCGTCGACTCGAATCTCATGACTCCCAAGCATGTTTGAATCACGATTTTGGTATTTCTTAACGTTTTCAGAATTCAAAATTATTAATGTCTTAACAAAAGATTTATTATTTACTTTCATAAATTACTAATTAAAATTTATTATTTACTTTCAATTTTATAAAAAGAAAAAAAAAATCAATTTTACAATCCATAAAACTTTTGCCAAGACATTAGTAATTTTTAATTCTGAAAACGTCAAGAAATACCAAAATTGTGATTTAAACATGCTTCGGAGTCCTGGAATTCGAGTCGTCTGCTCGAACACAAGAAAATATGTACGACATTTCTCTTCGATTTGATACTGAAGCAAAACTTCACAAGGAAGAAATCCTTGGGTGTATGAAAGCATTTCTCAACTACAGTGTGAAAATAAACAACCCGAAAATAATGCCGCACTGGGCACATGCTCTATGCCTGGCTGCAATATAGTGAAGAGACACAACTCTGTATGGACCAATACTTTAGAAATGTGGCCAAATACTGCAAAGCAACCGTGGAAAAGGATCCATGCAAATATAGTTGTTTTCTTTATCTATTTTTCAGTTAGTATTAGTTTATTTATTTGTAACCAAATTTTATTTTTGATGTTCTAAATGTAGGGCTAGGCTTGAAAGTAAATGATGAATTTTACTACAAAATCTTTAAGAGCAAGTATTTCAAAACTATAGGACTTGACCGTGTGTTCGATTCCAATTTTGGGCGTGAGATTGCCATTTTCTATGAAGGCACTATACCTATCGGGATGACGATATTGAAGTCGCAGATCAACAGTCTTCCGTGACGTTCACCAGATGTCAGACCAACACATTTTGGGTTAAGATTCCCCGAATAGGAATGCTACCATGAAAAAAAAAAACGATACAATCTATTTGATTTGATTGGGATTGTTAAATTTTTTGTGTACTTAGAACAATCTTGCCACATCTAGAAGGTGCATTTCTGATCTTAAGAACTCTTTAATTATTTGCTGCATGGATAAGTGGATTAAATCTTATATTTGCAAGGTGTTAATATGCCCTAATTAACATTGTTAAGTTTTTTTGTTCATAGTGCACTGATTAGCATTGTCACTTTTTTTCATGTTGCACTGTGGAGACTTTGTACGCTTGAATGATTAGGTTAGATTGCATGGTCCATGGTGTTAAATACCAATAGCTTAACAAAAAAAAAAAAAATGTGTGAGAGGATACAAATCTGCATATATATAAACTCCTAATTTAGAGCAAAGCAAGAACATACACGGTCAAACCCCAAAAAAAGAGTTAATTGGACATCACAGAAAAAATAATAGTTTTCCTCCCTTCAAGCTGACATAAAACAAGCAGAGAAAAACAAAATGTGAGATGATAACATAGTTTTTCAACCCGAACCAATTTTGGCTCTGGGTCGATACCCGGTCGACCCGGAGCCAGAATTGGTCCGGGTGGGCTGGTCAACAAAGGAATTGAATCATTAGTGCTTTTAATGTGAATATATTATTTTTAAAATTTAAACTATAATATATTTATAGTTTCTTGTTCTTTATTTTTTTGTACAAGATATTTATTTTTGTAATAGATTTATTTATTAATTTAGTTTTTCATTTTTTTATCTATCATTATAGACAATCCCATCTGTATTCGATAAAATATTCTATGGAATTATTTATTATCCTGAAATAATCCCATCTATCATTATAGACAATCCCATTTTTTTGACCGGGTATCGACCCGGAGCCAGGTGGGCTGGTCAACAAAGGAATTGAATCATTAGTGGTAATTTGATTTTAATGTGAATATATTATTTTTAAAATTTCAACTATAATATATTTATAGTTTCTTGTTTTTTATTTTTTTGTACAAGATATTTACTTTTATAATAAATTTATTTATTAATTTCATTTCATGCATTGAAATAGATAATCTACATGGCATATGCTTAACTGGAAAATTATTAAATATAACATTCTTTAAGCAATAAATATTTGTTGTCTACCTTTATACCGTTCAGTACATAATCAATTATATAACTAAATACTAACAGAAAAGTCTATAATAATCAAAGTCTTTGCCTGTAACAAGAAAAAGAGCACATGGCTTTATTTACTAATTGTCATGGTCTATTACACTGGTAAGATGTTAAAAATGTTTTATATAAGGGGAATAGAATCATTTAAAATTTTTATTTCAAATTTTGCATTACTAAAGAAACTTGATTCCGAATTATTTTCCTATCTATCCCTCATCATATATATAAAAATAACAAAATTATTTAAACAAAAATTGAATTTATCTATAAATCATTAATAAAATCATTATTAAAAGTAATTTTATCTATGAATTTTGCTATTACAAATAGTATTGAAATGATATTCATTCTTGTGGTATATGCAGGAAACTATTGTTGGTGAATGTTTATAGCATGGTATGCCTATATTATATGCTATGAGCGAGAAATATTTTTAACATTTTACATACCTAATTATTGTGAATAAAAAATATTTTTTACGCACAAGCTAATGTGAATAAAGAATATTTTCGTCTCGTATAACATGTATAATTTTGAACAAAACTTATTGAACATATATATTGAACAAAACTTATTAAAAAAAAGATATATATATATTGTACGAGTATATATTTATTGTTGAACATAAATTATTGTTACATCTCCTACATTGTTATACATGCATTATCATTTTCGTTCACGGATTTTCAAGGCTATCCTAAAAAATAAATAATTTCAGTTTAAATGAAGTGTAAGATGATTCTTTCATATTTACTTTTATCTTAATATTATTCTATATCTTCGTCAATATTTATATTATTATATATAGTTTATTTTCTTTACTTTTGAGAAGTGATTTGGAACACTTAATTTATGAATGATTTTATAAATAATATTGACTAATGACAATAAATTTAAATTAAATGTACTATTTATTTTTATTTAATTGATTTTTAACAGTAACTATTTTATTTTATAATATGTACACGTATTTTGAAATTCAAGATTTAATATCAAGTTTTAGTTATTTTATTTGTATAATTACTCTATTTTTATTTATATTACAATTAAAGTAAATTGTAAACTAATTTATGTAACACATAAAAGAACATTTATATTATAGATATTATTTATTATTAATTATTAATAGGTCAACTTAAACCTATATGTTTTAAACAAAATTTTTCTATTAAGATTATATATTCTCACTCTCAACGCATAACTTATTGCACAAAATTTTATTGAAGAATTATTTTTAATTCAATAATTCTTAAAGTAGTGGCTTGTTAATTAAATTTATCCTCTTTAATTTTTTTAATACTATAACAAAAAATCACTATAATAAAAAATATGATATTTGGAAATTAGATATATATTTTAATTGGTGCAAAATACATTTACACTTATGAAACAACATATATTTTATTGAAAAAAATATTAAAATAGTATTTTCTCTTACATTTAAAAACTACTGTTAAAATAACCAAACCGTGACCTACCATATGTAGATTATTATTAATTCTGAATAATATAATTAAGAATAAATTTTTTATTTAAATCTATAATTTGCGTAGATAAGAAATTAAATTTTAAAAACTTAACAAATATTAAAATATTATTAATTGTAACTTTCTAACATTAATTAATAAAAAAACTACGTTAATAACTTTAAAACTCAACTGTATGTAGTAGGTCGTGAGGGTATTATTGGCAATTCAAAAGTTTCAAGAAACTACTTAAGAAAGTTATAGATGATAGTTGAAAAAGATATTTTGTCTTCATGAGTATTTTTCTTTTTTTGTTCTCTTACGTTGCCTTTTTAATTCTTAATTATTTTTAATTTCAATAGCATGTTAGCTACTTTCTTAATAACATATGTATTAAATTAAATTTAACTATTTGATTAGAACTGCGAACGGTGATAGGATTATCACAAAAGTTAAGTTAATATGTGATCCTACATATTTTGTTACCTAGGAATTAAATTTAACCATTTGATTAGAAATACGAATGCTGATAGGACTATCACAAAAAGTTTAGGTCATATGTGATTTATTTGAGCGTGCTTGATAGGAATATGCCTGCTCAAAATGAGTTTTTTTTTTTTTTTTTTTTTTTTAGTTAATCATGGTTAATTTTGAAAAATGTGGGATAGTTAGGGTGTGATTGCTTATCTATCCAATTCAAAAAAAACCAATCAAAACTCAAATTTAACTCAACTCCACTATCTCCTTTATTACCAATATAATTAAATAATATCAACCAATCATTCTTACACATCACATCAACTTTAATTCACTATTCATCCACTCACATAATTTTAACTAACCATCATTTCCAATCATTTTTCTCTTACTTTTACATCATACCAACTTTAATTATTTTATTTTAAATATTATTTTAATATATCCACTAACAACTAACTATACTAACTTTTTTCAAAAGTAACTATAGTTAAAAAAAATCAATTAATTTCTAGATGAATTGATAAACAATCACCCCCTTAGTTGTTATAGGAATTTTGACTTTATATTAAAATATTATTTAAATTAAAATAATTAAAGTTGAATTTATGCAAAATTATGAAACAGATATGCGAAGTGGGAGTTAATTAAAATTATGTGATTGGATAAATAGTGAATTAAAGTAATATGAAGTGTATAATGATTAATTGATATTATTGAATTATATTGATAATATTGAGAATAATGAAATTAGATTTAAAGTTGAATTAGATTTTGAGGATGGATTGAAAAAAATTATAAACAACACACCCTGTATATTTTGTTGTACAACACCCCCTATATATTTTGTTGAACATTAGCTCGAGTAGTTTTAAATCCTAGCTCCGCCTTGTTCAACAACTATATTATTATATTATCTAGTAAAATATAATTACACACATTAATCAATTATACTATTAAAAAATTATGACAAGTAATAGTAATAACGAAATCAACAAAGACAAGCCAACACACGTAAAGGATAAGGACGAAATCATAGGTGAAGATAATTAAAATTAAAATACCGTCCTAAATCCGGCTAGATAAGCGACGGATGCAGCAAATGTCCACATCCTGCAGTAAAAATTAAAATTTATTGAATGGTTATATTACCAATAGAAATGAATAAATTCGCCACGAAAAACAAAATAAAATAATTGTCTATCCTCAAAAGATATTTTATAGATAATATACTAACGAAAACACTAGGTTTGTGAATGATTAGATGGAATTCTGAAAATAAGTAACATCAAAATCACTTGTAAGACACGAAAGCATTTAGTTATAATAACAATTTAGTTTTATTTTTTTCTTCTGAAAATTTACCAAGAAAGGGTAAACACAAAGTGTAAATTGAATTAAAAGTACTGAAATATAACAACTGATTTTTTTTTTTCTGAAAATTTTTTATTGATTTTTGTTCCTTAAAATTACCAAGAAAGGTATAGTGCCACAGAAAATTCTTAATAAGAAAAATTCGAATGCTTACAGAAAATTGATGATGGCTTGAGTTATAGCCGAGATCGGAAAGTTCAAGACGATATAGCCCTTTTGAAGAGGGTCGACGCGAGTGTGCTTGATGAGCAGCGCCATTGAAGGTTGTTACCCTAAAATGAAAGCCGAACTGCATAGATCTAATTGAATCATTCAAGAAAAAAGACAATGTACTTGTAACAAGTCGGTTTTTACCGTAGAAAGAAAGCCGACGGTACTGTAGAGATCTATATATATATATAATTGCTAGCATTTCATTAAATTTTACCTAATAAATAAAACTTAATAAATTTTACCTAATATATAATACAACGTATATCAATTATGGATAGTTGCAGGACAGCTTTTTGTAAAGGCATGTAAACATTGAATTTAGGACAAACAATATTCATCACACATAAGAGAGATTACCCAAACAAATATGTTTCCACCTGATGAAAACCATTGCAAGGCCTTCAGTTTTATACAAAACAAATATTTGCCGAAACTTCCCTATACCCAACTACAACCCTAACTCTACCCAACTACAATCAAGAGGGGAGATTACAGAATTGTCAATAAAAAAATAGATAAGCATGTACAGAGGAAAAACGAATAAACCGAGGCTAATTGAAGCTTCACAAAACAATTCAACGACAATACCCAACTCAACCTCGAATAGCCCCGACAAACGAACAATTCAATCTAATAACGAATAATAACAAGAACCCATGTTGAAACTAACCATGTAACGAATAGCGCACGAACCAATCAATTCAATAACCCTAATCAACAAATTTCGCACATTGAACAATAACAAGAAACTGTTTTAGTCTTTTAGACGATAAAAATACCTCCCCAGGTACCCAAAAAACACATTAACAGTCGCAAATACGTTATCCAAGCAACAAACAGCACCAGATCTGCAAGTTTCCGACCAGGACCGCCCTTGATTAGGCTAATTCAACGCACCTGTATATATTCACAAACGCACGCAGGAACAAAACGATGGTGGGCTAGGGTTTCTAGATTATGGCTTCAAAATCTATTGAATTTTCTCTCTCTTTTTCCTCCATTGCTCAAATTCCCCACGAGTTTTCGGACGCCATGGAGAAAAAGAGGGATAAATTCGAAGAAGACATGAAGAAGGCGGTATGACTTTTTTGCTACTTTTTATTTTCCTCGATAATTTATATACTAATACTATTTTATAGATAAAACGGGATTATTATATAAAACGGGATCTTTATTTAAAAGACCTAGTCAAAGGTCTTTATTATACAAATAACCTCTATTTCTTTTTTATAAAATTAGTACGAATCTCGGGTAATAGATATTTTTTAATATTTATAAATTAAAATTACTCATTAAATAATATATATAAATTAAAAATATAGAATCAATATGTAATACAATTTACCTATATTACTAGGGTTAGCATGGTGCGGTTCGGTGCAAAACTGAATTTTTTTTTTTTTTCAAACTGAAATTTTTTATTTACCCAAACCGAATCGCACCATGTAGAAAAACCGAATCGAAATCGCACTGAAATTTTCAACTCGGTGCGGCGTAGTTTCGGTTAACTGTAAATTTAAAAAAAAAAAGAAAAAAAAAAACAAAATAAAATGAAGCTACATCATCATCATCTAATGTGCAACATTACCAAACCAAAGCCCAAGATTTCAACTGAAAGTGAAAAACTAAGGCAAGAAATTAGATTTTTATGTAATGTTATTAATTTTTAATAGTTATTGTTTTTATTTATTGTTAATGTTAGTCATCCCAAACCAAAGGCCCAAATGAGCATGTATATGTACAATACAAACATTTTAACATATTTCATATTTGTAAAAATATGAAAAAAAAAAAAAAGAAAAGAAAAGAAAAAATCATATTCAGTGCGGTTCGGTTAACGCATCATTTGGACAAAAAACCAAACCGCACCGAAATTGTGCGATTTTTCAAAATTTTAACCGCACAGAAAACCAAACCCTTAAAAAACCAAACCGAATCGCACCGAATACATCGGTTCGGTTTTCGGTTTCGGCTCGGTTTTGCTCATCCCTATATATTAGTTTATTAAAAATATTTTATGAAATTTAAATTGTACAAAATTACATAAAACATAGCGATTTGAAATTAGTACAGGTGCACACAAGTAATAATAAATTATATTATATTTATTTTAAAATAAATATCATTTTAAAATTTTCATTCAAAAATTTTATTTGACTACAATGTGATCCCATAGAATAATTTAGTAAAAGTTTAACATATATATCAAAATCTATGTGAATAATAAGTATAATAAAATTTATATTGTTTCACTAATTAAAATGAATTTATTTTTGTATAAACTATCCAAACAAAAAAAAATAGTTGAGTAATTTATTAAACCATAAATAATTGACTATTTTATTTACGTTTGAGTTAATATTGACCCATAAGTTATGAATAATTATTTATTTGACTTTAAATGTGGAACCCAAATTATAAATTCTGGTATATATTTCATATAGGGTTGGGTTCACATGAGAATGGTTCTTAATGAAAGAAATAAGAACACATCACAACCATCGAATTAAACGATCGAATGGATACCAAAAATCCAGCATTTAATTATTCATTAAGGGTATTATAGACATTTTAATTATCAATTGTGGACCTATGCCAACTAATATTCATCCCATCCAATCATATACTGCCACGTGGCTACTAATACATCACACATCTCACACTCTATCTCACACCTTACACACGTTTTGACTATTCAACACACACTAACACACAATTGCACACACATTTACACACGCAACACACACAGAAAACACACACACACACCAGTGCGACACACACAACACACACATCGCCGGCGAGAGCAAACACACAACGCCGTCGGCGGCGGTCACACACAAAGTCAACCATCACCGCCGCCTCCGCTGCTCCGCCCCGCCATCTCCGCCGTCGCACCTTAGCTGCCGCCGCACCTCCTGTGAGTCTCCTCCGACTTCACCGTCTTTGCCGACCGTCTCAGTTTGTCTCCGGCGACATTCCAACGGCGGCCAACCTTCGATTCCTATCAACACAGAACTCCGTCGTTGCCCCTAATTATCTCCGGCGACCTCCATCCGCCGGTCGTCGGGGAGGAGATATAGGTGGAGAACTTCGAACGACTCTATTGCCGGACGCTTCGCCACCTCCTGGAGCTCGAACGACGCCATAGCAGATGTGAGGGGATGATACGGGCAATAGCAGATCTGAAATTTGATTTTGGGCTTGGGCCTCTTTTTTGAGAATTTGATCAAGGGACCTATTTGCAATTTTCACAATTTTAAGTATATTTCAATTTGACACATTGGTCAATCTGTAATTATTGAAAGTTACATAAAAAAAAATATATTTATATACTTTGTTATGCATATATATAATAAATAATTTATTAAATAAAAATAATGTAAAAAAATAAAAATAGTATAAAAAATATTTTGTAATAATAAATAAATTATATAATTAAAACAATAATTAAAAAATAATTTAATTATTTAAATTAATTCAATGTACAATTATTTATATTAAAACTAGTTTTAAAATATTATCTTTTTCAATACAAAATAAATAAAATGTTAGATAAAAATATTAATGTACATTTTACATAAAAAATAATGAGGTATTTATCAAATTTTTAATAATTTCATATACACATATAACAGTATTTTTTAAAGTGCACACATAAACACAATATAGTGCATCTAATGTGTCATTAGTGTGCATCATTAATTTTCATTAAATGTCATCCATGAATAAAAATATACATAAATTTAAATTATTAATTGAAAAAATAGTCCCCCAATTATATCAAATTTTCCAAAACAAACCCATCCCCAAACTATGTTAACCGACAAATTAAACCAATTATGTCGATATTTTCTATTTGGAGCTTGACGGGCTGAGATGATACAGCGGGACACAGGCGGCTGTGACCGGAGCATGACGGGCTACCGGTGGCTGGGTGTGACGGAGGTTATTCCGGCGACGGTGACTGGATTTGTGGTGGCGGCCGGCCTCGGGTGTGTGTGTTGTGTGTGTGCGCGACTGGGCTGTGTGTGTGTGTGGAGGAGCTCGCGAACTATGCAGCTTGACGGGTGGCGGGCTACTGAGGCGCGGCGGTGATGTTGGGATCTCGACCGAAAATCAAAAGATGAAACCAGATCCGTCTAGGTTTCTTATGATTACCGAAACATTTCTTATAAAAACACACAAAAAACAAAAAAAATTAATGAAAAAAATAGATTGTTAACTTATATGAGCTCGATTTGAGAATTTTATTTAAGATCCAGTTGCAGTCATCTCCAAATAGGATGAATCTTTTCAGATTTACATATTTTTCTTCAAAAGTCGATCTCAAACTGGTAATAAATTAATGAAAGCGTAAAAACAAAATAAAGTTTCAGTAAATAAATAAATTAATTAACTTATAGGACGAAAATAAATATCTAACATTGAGAGAGAGACATTTTCAGTAACATAGAATGCAAATTAACGATTTTCAGGAAGACAACATCAAGAATCAACAAAGTAAAAACAAAAAAAAAGCAAATAAAACTGAAAACACTTAACGTGTGCAGTATCAAAAAGAGGATATTAAGAAAAATCAAGAGAATTCTTTACCTGCTGCCCTCCCCTTCTCGCTGGCCGGAAAATGTTTGAAGGAAACAGCATTTGCCAGGGAGGTTCCCTTTCGCCCATTTTCTTGTCCTGCTTGGGTGGGTATTAGGGGAAGAGAGAGAGAGAGAGCAATCGAGTTCTCTGTTCGACCGTTGGGGGAGAGGAGGAAGGTAGAAAGTACGGAAAGTTGTCATATACCCGATCGCAGATGAAGGAAAGCCGCCACCTTTTACTAAAAAGCTTTCATCTTTGATGGAGGATGCTAAGGATTCAAAGGAAAAAGGGCTGATTGTGGTTGAAGAGGGCGGATCTAGGGAAGTTAAGGTGGTTGAGACGGCAGACGGGGAAGTTTTAGGGTTTCAGAGAAGGTGCAATTGAAAATGAGAAAGGCGTGGCCAACGAGGATGATGACCAAAAAGAACTAGGCTGTGTTTTGGGCTAGTGGTATAATTATTAGTTGGGCTTATATCATTATCATTATTGTTATAGCTATTTTAAGTCTTTGTTAGTATTGGGCTGTTTGTAATTTAAGCCCACTTTTCAGTTGGTTAGGAGATGCTGCTAGTGGGACCCGCTTGAGGGTGATTTATGCTGTTTGTCAGACTTTCTGCAGATTTTATGAAATTCACAACTAATTCTATATCTCTCTACTTTCTCTCTCTACTCACCTTCCCTTTCATCTTCTTCTTAAATTTCTTCTATCAAATACAGAAATCAGCTTAAATTATTATACAAATTATCCAAAATTACATTATATTAATCGTGCCTAAGAGCATCCACATCCCTTAACATTCATTCAATCACAATTTATACTCTCTCTCATCCACATCATCTCTACATCATCTTTCCACTAAACATCTCTCTATTTAAACACACACCCACATTCAATCATTCATTTAAATACAAATATATGAGACTCATTACCCACTCATTTAATACTATTTCTATATTCTATTCTTAAAAAGACTGAATAAATAATTAATATAAAACTAAAAAAAAAAAGAATGCGTTCAGTGGACCCAAGGTGCATTAAAAAAAGAAATCAGAACAAAAAAAGCACCCAAGGTGCATTAAAAATAAATGAAAGAAAAAAAAGCACAAATGTTCCGTTCAATGGAATGAACGGATATATGGTGGCCCACCCCTTAATGAACAACCACAACGCAATGAATGGGAATTGGCCATTTAAACGGGACAAATTAATGTCTGTTGCGGATGCCCTAACAAAAGTTTGAGAAAATAAATTAATGTCTGTTGCGGATGCCCTAACAAAAGTTTGAGAAAATGCGCAATGGTTTGAAGGGCATGCCGCATTAGACTATCCTTATCCCCAATTTAATCCAACCCAACTTAATAATTAAAATTTTTTTCTCTCTCCTCCACCTACACAACTCAATCTTACAACTCAATTTATCTTTATCACCAACCCAACTCAACCTCAATATTTATTTTATTTTAATTTATTTAAAAATTATAATTTCATCTTAAAATATATAAGTGTGGTATCTATTTGTAGAGAATGAAAAAATATGAATTTTAATATCATTTTTATTTTTTTTAAACAAAAATATACATTTATCCAATTAAAATGGGACAAATGTCCCATTCTTACACAATATACAGGTTGCGACCCAAGGTCACAATGTGACCTGGGTCGTCAATTTTCACGACTTGTCCTCTATTTTTCTTTTTTTCTTTTTTTTATTATTTTTTAATTGGTGGCCCACTCATTGGGGTCACCGTTAAAGCTAGTCTTAGAGATGTTAGGGTTTCGGACTAGTCTAGCGGTGTTCGGGCTTCGGGCTAAACGGTCCGAGCTAAAAAGTCCGAATTTAAATGAGCTACCAATAAATGGACCTACCCTAAATTTAGCGAGTTTCAAGCTAAACGGGCTATACGGGCTGTAATAATAATAATAACAATATATCAAAAATAAAAATAAAATAAAAAATTATAACAGCTAGTTAACAATTTTTTTTCAACGACTATTTAGTATTTACCACTCTATATATACAACTATACTTCATATATTGAACACAAATTACAAACTATTAAATAACATATTTTTTCTCAAAAGAAAAAAAAAATGTTCGAACTATTGCTTATAACTAACATTTTACTAGTTATTTGGTACGCTTTGAAAATTTTCACAATATTGTATGATACTGTTGAATTTATATTCTATCATTATATTTTATGTGTTAGGTCTGTGTTTTTTATTAGCCGTTCTGATTGGCTTAAGTATTTTGGTGTGAAATAAAATAACAAAATTTGTTAATAATTATCTTTTAGAATAATAATAACATGTTGTAGCGCATAATTACATATGAAGTAGAATAGCAAATTTGAAATATATAATGAATCATCTTGGGATATTCCTTATCTTGCTAAAAACATTTACACTGTCCAACCTAAGTTTAACATGCTAGCCCTAGAGGTTTTCGAACTAGTCCTAACGGTCTTCGAGCTAAACTGTTCGGGCCTAAAAAACTTGAATGTAAATATAAAAGGCCCTAACCCTGTTCTTTTTCGGGCTAACCGGGCTGGCTCATCGGGCCAAGGACCGTTTAACATCTCTAATACACATAGTAGTTTGATCGTGGTTGTGCACGTCACAGCCGACTTAATTATACTTAATTTTGGTAAAATTGGTAGCTATAAAAAGTATAGTGTGTTTGACAAAAAGTTTTATTATTAAAAACCAAAGAAGTCGTCTTTATTGAAAATTTTGAAGAAAAATACATTTCGTTACAAGTTTGAAAAAAACTTGTATTAGCCTATGTTGGTAAAACTAGCTGATAAGCTAGTTGATAGCAGATAAGCTAGTTTATAGTTATATGTTGACTATGTTTGGTAAGCCAAATAAGCTAGCTTATAGCTTATTTAGGTAGCTTATAAGCATTTTGTATTCAAATAAGCCTCGTTTGGTAGGACGAACTTTTTTAAAATGCTCGAGCTTATCTCATAAGCTACTTTAGGTAGCTTTTTAAATAAGCTAGTTGAATTTTTTATTTCATCTAGCTTATCAGCTAATTTTACATAACACTTTTATCATATAAGCTAGTTTTTCAGCTATAAGTCATAAGCTATAAGCTATAGGCTATGTTTGGTAGATCAATAAGCTAGCTTATAGCTTATTTGGTTAGCTTATAAGCTCCCTGTTTTCAAATAAGCTCCGTTTGGTAGGACGAGCTTTTTTAAAAAAACTCGAGCTTATTTGACAAGCTTCTTTGGGTAGCTTTTCAAATAAGCTAGTTGAAATTTTTATTTCAGCTAGCTTATCAGCTAATTTTACCAAACACTTTTATCATATAAGCTAGCTTTTCAGCTACAAGTCATAAGCTATAAGCTATAAGCTATAAGCTCAAAAATTACTGATACAGACAATTTTTTTTTAGCCAAGTAGAAATGTAAAACCTAAATTTTAGTCATGTTGTTGGAAAAACATCTTTTTTAACCATTTTGGCACATAAAAATACCAAAATACCCTTACTATCTATTTTCTTAAAAAAAATCCAAAAATCCAAAGTCTTTCCTTTAATCTATCGCTCCACTCTCTCCAGTCCATCTTAATACCCTGAATCTAACCTCTCTCGCTTCTCTTCCCTCATTGTGATCTTTCTCTCTATTTCATTAAAAAAAAATATCATTACTCTCTTCATATCTAAAAATTCTGGTAACATTACGAGGAAATCTCGAAAATATTAGTCTAAAGGTATGTTTATAATTTTTCATGTTTTTTCTAATGGGTCAATTTCATATACTCAATTTTTTGAAAAAAAAAAATTTGAAAGAACACGATCAAGATAGTGAAAAAAAAAAAAAAAAATCGTCAATTTCTGGGGTCCAGAAATAGATTTCTGGGCTCCAGAAACGTTTCTGTAACCAGAAATCGGTTCTAGACCCCAGAAATCGTTTCTAGGATTTTAGCATTTCTGGGATCAGAAATCGTTTCTGGACACCAGAAATCGTTTCTGTAACCTGAAATCGGTTCTGAACCCCAGAAATCGTTTCTGAGATTTTTAGGATTTCTGGGACCCCGAAACTATTCTGAGCCCCATAAACGATTTCTGGGGCCCAGAAAATGATTTCTGTGGTAAAGAAATGATTTCTGGGCTCAGAAACGGGATTTTAAGATTTCTGGGACAGAAACATTTTCTGGGGTCCAGAAACCAGAAATCATTTCTGGACAACAGAAATCGTCGTTTCTGGACCCCATAAATCATTTCTGGACCACAGAAATCGTTTCTGTCCCAGAAATCTTAAAATCCCAGAAATGATTTCTGGACCACAGAAATCGTTTTTGGACTGGTTTCAGGACCCCAGAAATCATTTCTGGACCACAGAAATCGTTTCTGTCCCAGAAATCTTAAATCCCAGAAATGATTTCTGAACCACAAAAATCGTTTCTGGACCACAGAAATCATTTCTGGGCCCCAGAAATTGATTTCAGGACCACAGAAATCGTTTCTTGACCCCAGAAATGACCACAGAAATCGTTTCTTGTCCCAGAAATCGTTTCTGGACCACAGAAATCATTTATGGGCCCCAGAAATTGATTTCGGGACCACAGAAATCATTTCTTGACCCCAGAAATGACCACAGAAATCGTTTCTTGTCCCAGAAATTGTTTCTGGAATCCAGAAATGCAAGAAATCTTCAAAAAGATTTTTGACATCGTTTGTCACTAAAATACTTTTGTATCTTTTTTTATAGATGTGGTGTGAAAAGGTTCGAATTGTGCATAGCGGATTTTGGGATGAGAATGTCTATAAAAATGGACAGGCAGAGATGAATTTTATGCGTTTGGGGAGTTTGTCGTATGAAGACTTTTTAAATAGAGTTCATGACATTGTTTGTGGAGATAAACAAACGTGTGAGTATCGATTTCACTTCTTGATGGCCAATGAAAATGGAGAGTTGGAAAAATGGAGGATTTCTTATGAATCTGACTTGCACAATTTGGCCGAATTGTTCCAAATTCCTACTATATATGTTACGTTGCAAGCCAAAGATCGTGGAATAAGTGGATTTTCTACTCAACCACCAACCAATTTTCATGCTTTTGCGGGGGGGCAAGGTGGATTCTTGAACTTAGTTGCTGCTCAAGGTCAACCATTTTATCCATATGGTGTTACCGTTCCATCTCTTGCAAACTTCAATTGGCAAAGCACCCCAAATATTGGTTTTGATCATAATATTGGGCGAGATGATTATAATCCAAATCAATCTCAGCATACAGTGCAAGATTCCGCTCGTCGAGATGTTGAAAGTGATTTTTCCAACCATGTTGATTGGGGTGAAGATAGTATATTTGATGGTGAGGATGATGGTCGGTATTATGATAATTTGAATGAAGAAGCGAATGTCCACGAGAATGATAGCGAAAATGAGGACGAGAATGAGCAACTCGAGCAGGATAATGAAAATGAGGACATCAATGATGGTCGGGATTAAGATGATTTCAATGGAGA